CTATACTTGATGATGTTTAAGATGCATGCACATTTGCTAAAATTAAACAAAAAATCTTTTTTTTTAAATTTTTTGTTTAAGTTTTAAGGATTGTAACGCAGTTGTAAACCAATACAAGCTGTACCCACCCATGCTGCATACGCATTAAATGTAATAAAATACTTGTAACTCAATATACAATGGTCATAAAATGATTATGGATCCGTTAAAAACTTTTATAAGAAAGACGTTAAAAACTGGCTATATTAAAAATTAAAATTGTTTCATAATTTTTGTTTGAATTATTTTATATTCTGTAAGCAACTGCATGAGTTATAATAAACGGATCATTATGTATATATTTTAATTTACATAATTATATAGGATATTATAAAGGAACGATGAAAATCAATAATAATTGTTATTTTTTATTTCTGTACTTATAGTAGTGTCGTTTACTACTTTTTTCAAGGATGTATGTGTTTAAAATAGAAAAAGTTTACATTGGTTTTATAGGACAATTTATACGTTTTTAACTGTTTACTTATGTTTTAAACAGGTATTTTAATAACAGTTTTTTTTATTCGAAAACTTTTTTTATTTATTCACAGAATTGTTCAATCATCCAGTGACGCTATGTCTACACATCCGTTAAAGTTATTTTGGCTTTTAGACATTATCGAATACTTGATGTATTTCACAACGTTTTATCTAGTTCGTAGAATTGTTTATTTATTATACTCAATATACTAATGTGTATTATACTTAAAAAAAAGTTTTAACTATTTTTTTATGTTAATAAATGTTGATAATAAATATTGTATATTTTAGTACCCAGGTATCAAATGTTAAACGAAAATTTCTTTAGGTTCAATATTTCAAACGTCTTTTTACTATTTTAGATTCTTATATCATAAATCTTATGAAAACTGTCAGTTACAGATATAATACGTATATCAAGCAAAATTAAGAACTGTGTCCTTCACTTAACACAAAATATATTAATGGTAAATATATACAAAAAATATTGAACGATTACAAATGTCTAAATGAGAGAAAAGTTGTCAATATTTTGGTTTCGATGGGAAGCTAGAAGGTATTAGTTTTACTCTGATGTCTTTTTCTTTTTGTGCCTGTTACCATTTTTTCTCAACTCTCACCGAATCGATTTCTTTCAATAATACGTCAAATCGTAATATACTTTATTATGAAAAAAAAATTTGACCTCTGGACCTGTCTTCGTGGTGAAAATGGCTACCGAATGCTATTTTTGTATGATAATTCTCGATTTTATTTTTTACATTTTAGCTGAGAAGGTATTGGTTTTACTAAGATGTGTTTATTTATTTTTTTTGTCTGTTACCCTTTTTCTCAGTTCTAAAAGAATGGATTTCTTTGACGATACGTCAAAAGATCACAAATTGTATCTAGTCGAAGACATTACCCTCAAAAATTGAAAAAATTTCCCTCGTTCCCCGTAAATGGGGGAAACCTCCAAAAAACTTACAAATTTAAAAATCGCTAATTTTCGAAATTTTTTCAATTTTTTTTACTATAAACTGCCGGAAATTTTTCAAAAATGAACATATCAATATAATTTTTTTTTTTACGTCACCACTGTGCCGCGACCCCCCTGTGCTGGGTTTTTAACATTATAATGCTATAACTTTGTAAGAAAATGAAATATATGTTATCATTTAAAAAATTATAATGATAGATTTTCAGTATGTAAAAGTGGGATCAAAATAAATATTTTACCTTTGATAGAAAGCTGAGAAATTAAATATTAAGTTAATAGGGTACTTCAATTTCCAAAAGAAATATGTTTTTATTTCAAAATATTGTTTGAAACAGTAAAAAAATCATTTCACTTAAATTAATAATGAAAAAGTTATATATAATAATACACATATATTTTTTTAAACAAAATTACAGTTTTTTGAAAGTTAAAAATTGTATTAATTGGAATTTTAATGTACAGAATAATAAGTGTCATTATTTTCTTGCATTGAGTCATCATCACCTTCACCAGGAGGCCTAAGTTCATCTTCTCTAAGATTAGATATCACATCTGGTGATTTTAGTTGTGTATTCTGAAATAAATAATTATACATATAAATATACTGAAATCAGAAAAAGTTCAATAGTTCAATAATCAAAAATAAATGAGGGGTGTTAGCCAACGGGCTCTTACGATAACAGTTGACCCGTATGACTGGTAATAATCAACACAGAAGAAACAAATGAATTAAACAAATGTATACCCAAATATAAAATAAAAGAGATTGATATTCGTACAATTATTATTTGTATATATTATAGAAAAATATGGTATCTTGTTCTGTTTATAATATACTAAATAAATATAATGGGCTTCCCCAAGTACAAATNTACTAAATAAATATAATGGGCGTCCCCAAGTACAAATGTAGTTACAATTAATAAATTAAACTATAAATAAATTTACATACAGTAATATCATAGGGCTCAACTCGTTCAATCTACTGATTTGAATGTCTTCCCTGTGGTAGCTTCAACTTTGACAATAACAATCACGGAATAAACCGGTGTTCAAGCTTTCACTAATAACTCCAAATTTAATAAGACTACAACTTTAACTAAGTCTTNCCAAATTTAATAAGACTACAACTTTTAACTAAGTCTTTCACGGCTCTATTCAATAGGCCGGATAACAACAATATTGTAACAAAGGGGAAAAAAACACGCGTACGTCGATTACGTAAACGGTATTATAACACCATATAGCGCAGAGACACATTAACATATGTCAACCATAGCTAATCAGCCGACAGACTGCTTGACCGTGAAAAATGTTTGGCCCCGTGTTGTCAAAGGCCACAGTATATACTTTCACGGTCAAATATTACCACCACTACCTCCGTGATCAACCGGTACACATTATCAATACCAACTGATGAGGAGATAACATGTTCTGTTTTGAACAGGGGAATCAAAGTGACATTTTGACAAAAAAAAAATAATAATAATAATAATAATAATAAGATAAATGTAAAATTAATAATTTAAATAACCACTCTTTTGAGTAAATTAAAGGTTATAGTGGATTTTTAAAAATATAATACTATTAATTATTTTCTTAAAATAACTGATAAGAAAATAGAGCATTTTTTATGATTATCTCTGGATTTAATTTTTGTGACTTTGATCCTTTAACTAATTAATTAAATTATTATTAATTTTGTATTATTGATAAAAAATACATTAAGCTTAAAATTTATATATTATACACAAAGATAAGTTAGATGTAATTCGTAGTTGTGATATTGTTAGACAGTGGCTTCAATATTTAAAGTTTCTGTTTTACGTTAAGTAACAGAAACTGGATGAATAATTGAAGTATCATGAAGTATTTTTTTGTTGTTGCATAATATTTTTTATTATTTTAACAAAGTATAGCTAACTAAACATTGATAATAAAATGTTATTTTAAATAACATTTTATTTTAAATATAAGAATATTTGACCATAAATTAAAATAAATACGGATAAGTAAGATCATTTCAATAAATATCATTGTACTATTTTATATTACAAGGAGCTTAAGTAGTTTACCACTGTATCAATTATACTAGTAGCTTGAGTTGTGCTTATAATATTTTCAGTTGGTTCAGGTTTAACTTTTAATTCTCTATAAAGGGGTACTTCTAACTCTTTACCAAATATAACATCCATAATTGCTTGACGAATATGAGAACGCTGAAAAAGGTATATGCATATTTCAGAAATAATTATCTACCAATATATAAATATTTTAATTAATATGCATAATTATATTATGTCTAATATTCTTACTTGAACTTCAGTAAAACTAAGAACATGATCTAATAATGGTCTTCTCATTTCATGACACTGGTTTAAAACATCTTCTAGTTGTTCAGGTGGTAGTTGTAGTAAAACTTGGAAACTATTTGGTTTTGTTTTTTGACAACATTTAATAAATCCTTCCCATTGTGTTTTTTGTCGCCATACTTTTTTGATTATAAGTCTTTGTAGTATATTCATTATAAAACCAATTAAGCGTGGATATGTCGTAAGTGACTGTATAACTGTTCGCATTAATAATGTAGGTAATGGGTTTATATCCATAAGATTTTGCATGACAATTGCCAAAACCTCTTGAGTAAATACTGATTTTTCAGCAAAACACAGAGATGTTGCTGTAAATTAATTTAATTATTATAATAGTATAGAAGACAATTTGTGGGTGGGTTAATCAATTTTAGAAAAAACTATTAATTCTAATCACCTTTAATAATGAATTTAAGATCATTAGGATCTGTTTCCATAGTGTGTAAAGCAATTAATAATTCTGCAGGACTTAGTGAAGGATTAGCATTAGCTATTGTAGAGTTTATTCCTAATATTCTATTAAATACCTAAAGTACGAAAAATGGCATATTATTTATTTATAATATTTATAACAAACTGAGAGTTCAAGAGGGTTATATATTGAAATTAATGATGCTTGAGATATTGGTATAATTCATTAATTATATTATTCTTTATGTAAACATACAAGCTACTTATGTAAAATTCTATTTGAACTCAATAAAAATCTTTAAAAATTAGAATTTAGTTCATATTAAATTTTACAACTTTGAAGTCGTTTATTTCAAATTGCTTTTTTGTAAGACATTACCGTCTTGCACTGCCAGTATGAAATATTAATATTAATTATTCAANGCACTGCCAGTATGAAATATTAATATTAATTATTCAACACATACCTCTTTTACTACATTAGGATTAAGCTTCACTAATTGTGGTAAAACATTTAAAATATATTTTTTATCCAAGCCAGACATAACAGGAACTAAAAATCTCACTTCCACTAACTGATTATCAAATAACTTTTTCACCATTGAAACTAATTCAATCGATGGAATTTCTAAAAATTAAATAAAATTGTAAATATACAATATATACTATATATTTAATTATACATTTAAATATATAGTATAATTAAAGTAATTAAGAAATATAAGTTATATAAAATTACAAAGTATTAAAAATTTGAAACATTGAGACAAATTTGAGAGAAACATTACAGAAATTGTTATATAAACATGAAAAGACATACTATAAATCAAATAAATGCAAAAGTTAAAACACTTTTTAATTAGGATGAAATATATAAGAGTAAAAAAAAATATTTATTATTTTTAGTTAAAATAACTACCAAAAAATGTAATAATAACAATACTACACTTGTTGATCAGATTATCTTAATTGTCATAAATTAAAAAGAAAAAAAATGCTTAGATTTTTTACTTTCATTTATAAAATTAAGAAATTAAAATAAATTTTTCATCACAATAAACATGTAAAACTTTTAATTATAGTACTTAAATTAGTAATTAAAACCTTGTTACTAAATAGTTTTTCAGCTAACTTTAATAATAAACCTATAGGGAACAGATTGTGTATATATTAATAAAGAAAAAAAAAAAACTTTAATAATTACATTGAGCTTTACGAATCATTATTATTCAATTATGAGATAAACATAAAAAAATTATCTGATCCCTAAAAAACTATTTTTTACTTTTTAAATAATTAATTATAAAATCACATAAAATGAAATATTACTAGTTTAATTAATTATAATCTTAAAATTATTTTAAAATTGAGATAAAAAAAGTTTTTGTGACAAAAGTATTTATACAAAAATTTAATTAAAATTATAATTGTACTAAATAAGACTGCATTAAATCTCAAATTTTGTGATTCATTTTCAAAATTTTTTTTTCTGATAATTTATATAATCGGTTGATGCTTTTATCATTCATTTGGTGTGGATCATAGTTTCTATCAAAAATGATTGAATTATAAAAAAAAAGTAAAATTTACTTATATTTAAAAATTCATTTTTTTTGAAATCAAGAAAGTCTACAGCTCGACTCAACTTGGCAAGCATTTTATAATGAGAAATAATTTTTAAGAACTCTCATTTTTACTACAAAAAGAAAAGAAAAAAAACACAGATTTATTTATTTTTGATTATTACTAGTTAAATTGTGGGGATCCGTCGAGGAAGCTTACTGTAATATTACATATAACATGATAATAAACTAGTATAAGCTTGATTCTATAACACTTATTTATTTTATTTAACAGCTAGTGATTTTATTAAAAATGGGGTAGGAAAAGGTTTTATTAAAAACTAAGTATGAAAATTATACCATAGATAGCAAGCAATATTAAACAAAGAATAATAAGTGATACAATTCTTCTAGAGATTCATAATTGTAACATTTCTTAGACAATTTGTAGGTTTAGTTTTTAAAAAACATTAAGAAGAGGGTTGGTTTTCCTTATTAAATAAAAAATGTTTTTTAATTTTTTTTTTTAATAATTTTTAGACAAAATAAATTTTTATCAACAAAATATATGTTGATTTTTTATACTTATTTAAAAAACACGTGTTTTACAACCTAACTTTGTATTGGAGGTTATTATAAATAAAGTTTTTAAAAAATTTTTACATATATTATATTATTATCTAATAATTTACTTCAATTTTACATAATTTTTATGTTTAAATGTTTTTAATACTAAAACATAATTTTTTATGTTTTACTTTATGAGAGGTTCAAAATATAATTCATTAATATACGTAATTTAAATAAAGAGATAGTGACAATTTTTTTAAATATAAAATGATTTAATAAGAATTGTTTTAAGTTTCAATTAAGTTAAAAATAGTATTATATTCAACAATATTTTATGTTTATTATTATCATATATTTTTGGTTTTTATTTTAAATATTTTAATTGTAACATTATTTATATTGCTTTCCTGCTTGATTTTATATATTCAGTAAACACATATAAATGTTTCAATAAAATTTTACCTTTTTCTGTAACAATATGTAATACTCGGGTTACCATAGTTTCAGCTCCTTTTGGAATATCTTCAAGCAATCTTAACATTTCCGGTGAATTCATTGGCATTTTTTGAATAGGTTGAGGTAACAGTTTGATAATAACACGTTTCACTTCACTTTTTGCGTGAACAAATACTGATGCTAACCTAATATTTAATACAATTTTTTTAAAAAAAGTCTGATTAACGAACATTATTAAAAAAAAAATGAATTACTCATGAATCAACTCATAATTATTAGCCATTAGCATGAAATATAAATATAAGCAAGCAGTTGTTGAATCATCATCCCAAACTTCTGATTTAATTAGCCGTCCACTTTCTTGGCCAAAGAGTACATCTGGTGGAAGTGGTAATCTCAAAAAACCCAAATAAAAGGTAGCATATTCTTCAATGATATTTTTTAATTCATTGTTCGTATACAGTTTACTTGTATAATTTAATGCCATCTCACGTAACTAAATATAAAATCAGATAAGATCATTGAAAAAGTTTTGCTAACTGCATATTAAGAACTAAATAAGCTTAAATAGTTCATAGTTTTTAAATTTATATGTAGAAAAATAAATATTCAAGAACCATTCATTAAATGGGATTAAAATAAAAATTTTATTTATTCCAGCATAAGACAATTTTTTACCAAAAATAATATTTTACTATCAAATTTAAATATTTTTTGTAGGATCAGGAATCAATTTATTTTATTTTATTTGTAAAANAGGATCAGGAATCAATTTATTTTATTTTATTTGTAAAAAGGAACCGCTCATCAATATTATTATAAGTGATTATTGTGTAATAATATAAAATTTTCTGTTATTGAATATAAAATATTAAAATTAAACAAAGTGTTCCATGACACAAATTTCACTAATAAAAAATAAGAAATAAATCAATACAAATATTAAACTTACTTCAGTTTCATTATGAGATGTGTAAAAGAGAAGAGCATTTAAGTAAACTAATTGTCTAGGTGGTCTTTTAGTAACAAGTTCATTAAGTATGTAAAGGCCAAAAGTATGTTTACAGCAAATATCCTTTAAAATATCAACAGCATCATCAGTTATAAATGGGCTTTCTAAGTAGAGAGCGGTCATGACACTAAAAAAATGTATTATATTCAATATTTGTAATAGTTCTTAAATGTAACCCAAGTTTAAAAACAACCAATTAAAAATAATTTTGTTTTCAAATAGAAAAAATATACAAGAAGGCAACATATTCTAAGCTTCCTTTAAAACAACATTCTTTCTACTCCTACTTTCAGCTTAAATCATGTGGCAAAATAGTTTCTCTATAGAATTTATTTAAAGTAAAATTAAAAAATTAGTTTTTGAGATTTGTTTTTAGAATTGAGCTAGACATTTATGTTTATATAATACTATAATACTTCTTCAATAAAAATATATATTTTTTGTATTACACCTAAAAATAATTTATTTCATAGATAAATCTTTAACCAAGTAGTTTTATTTACTTTTATAATTAAATATACTATGTCTTTTATATCAGTATTTCATAAATTAGTAATTTTTTGAATTTATTAATAAAAAAGAATAATATTTATTTCTTAACCAATCATAGAAACTTGACTATTTACAATTCTTTATCTTTGAGGTCATCAATATTCAAGGCTGCTCTTATTAATGAACATAAAATTGTATTATAGTTTTGTTCTGATGAGAGGGAATTTCTGAAAGCTGTCGGCAGCTTAGTAAATCCTTGATTCATACTATATTCCTCATATAACCAAGACAAACATAAATCTAAATTATATGTCATATTTAATTCTATGTAATCTAGTATAGCTGCAAAAAAGTTATAATAAAAAGTTAATTAAATTTTCAATTTTTAGGAAGAACTTGTATAACTTACTATTTAGAAATTTATCATTACACATGACAGCCATACGAGTAATAACTTTATTATGTATATCTTTAAATGGTTTTGACATAATAAGTTTGCCAGTATCCAATATTCTTAATAATGCGTCATGTGATAATTCTTCTGCTTCAGATGGGTCAATTCGACAACATTTTACATTTAATTCAGCAGGCATTGATAAAAACAAATTGTCTTCATCATCATTTTTCTTTAAAAGTTCCTCTTTAATCATTTCTATTGTTTCAATTTTTTCAGATTTGCATTCATTTAATTCGGGTAAAGAAATATTTGAAGTACAAATCTGATTAGATAAAAGATCTGCTAAATTCTTAATTTGACTATCTGTACCAGCAGCCGTTATTGGTGTATAATTTGATTGGAAATATAAAGGCATTTTTGATGGTAATTTTGGCTAAATATTAAAGAACAATGCTTTAATTAATAATACATCTTGACAAATTGATACAACACATTTTATTTCTTGAAATAATAAACAACACATTTAATTCTAACTAAGATTTTTAGAAAAGATAGTAAAGTTAATGTTAAAATAGTTACAACCAAAAGTAATTTTTAGTTATATTACATATAATATGTTTAGAATATTTAAAATTTTCTCTATAACATGAATATTGTTTTGAATACACACAGAATTTAACATTATTAGAGTATTGTATTAAAAAAAATGTAATCTGTTAATGATTTTAACATAAAATTTTTCTAATGTAATAACTTTTGGAATATATAAAATTACATGGAAAGTAATTACAATTTCAATACGTAAGTATAGAGATTAAAAACTAGAAAGATTTTAACTCTTTTTTAAAAATTTCTCAAAAATGTATATTTAATAAAAAATGTAAAATTTTTTTTCTATTTTATTAATGCCTATATTATATATTTGATTGTTTTTAAATATATTAATTAAGAAAAATTAATAAATAAGTAAATAAATAAAAAATAATTAAGAAATATTAATATCAATAATATACAACTTAGTATATGCCCACAATAAACAAAAACCTATGAAATGAGCTGAAGTAAATATTACATGTACCATAATATGAGTTCCAAAAAATGATTTATAAAAATATAAATCCGAAATGTCTGTAAAGTTAAAATATTAAATATTTTTAAATAAGATTTTTAATTGTGATAAAATTTTTAACTACTATTTATATTTTTGTGAATAGTATTAATTACAAAAACCAAAAAATATATTCAGATTATATTTTAACTTGCTTTTATAAATATGATTAAATAACGGTCCATATTTTCCCAAGTCCAGACTTAAAAAATTAATAAAGTAATTTTTAGGTGCTATATATACTATATTCTTAATTAATAAATTTCTCTAACTTTGGATCATACCCACTGTTTATCAGTTAATAAAAACGTATTTNTACTATATTCTTAATTAATAAATTTTTCTAACTTTGGATCATACCCACTGTTTACCAGTTAATAAAAACATATTTGAATAATTCTAGATACAATTTTACCATGGATAATTTTTCAAAATATTTTTAACTAACCATGAAATTCATTACTAGTTTTGAAACGGTGTCAACTGAAAACCTTTCAAGAAGCCACATTTTAACTAATTCTGGATCAAATGCTATACTCTCAATGCATCTTTTTTTTTCTGGAATATCATCCTTATCAAAATTATAGCTATCCTTTTCATCATTTTTTCTTTTTAGTGAACGAAGTAAACGTTTACTGTCATCATTCTTTGATACTACTTGAAAAGCCTTTAATATCTATAAAAAACAATATGTACTAATCAAATTATCGGTAATAAAGTAAATTTAGTGTCTTTTATACTAGTTGTATAAAAAAACAAATCAACCAACTTCATTTTATTGTACAATTAAATCTAGTATTAATATACAACTGACACTGCATTTAAATATTCAATATACTAATTAAATTAGTCATTGGAGAAACAACAAGAGTCACTATTTTTTTATAAAAAAAAATTGTTTGTAAATATATTACTTATAGTATAAAAAAATAAACATATATTTATATGTTAGTTTTTAATGTTAAATAAAGATATAAATACATTTGTTCAACTTTATGAAGACATAAATATAAAAAAAAACTTCGTCCAGGGAATCAGTATTTCAAAAGAATAAATATGATTTTAAAGCTAGTTCAAGAAATAGTTTAATAATAAATATTTTTATGTTTTAATTTTTTGAGAAACAATACAAATATATAAGAATTTAATAACACCCTGTAGGAGTGTACACTCATGTTTTTTCCCCAAAAAATGTTCCCCCTAAATTTGATTGAAGTATGTTGATAATAATAATTTTTTTAGTTAGTGACAAAAAGTAAAATTTTGATTAATAGTTATATAAATATTAAAATTATAATCTTACCCAGATTAAACTATTTGATAAAAATATTTTTTTTTAAAGAACATTTAAAAAACTTTTAAAGTTAATGGATAGGGAATCATAAAAAATTAATTATAACACCTGTTTAAGGAGATTGTCATAATGCCCTAATTTACAACTGACACTTAGTGAAATTTTCTTAAATTAGTTATTTTTTAGCGAATAATTATTGGTTAAATTATTGTAAATGAGACATATATTTTGAAACTGTGTATTAAGAAATAGTAAATTATTTATTTATTTTGCAAAAATTCAATAAATGTGACTTATTATGTTTCTCAAGTAACAAAGTTAACAAACTATAATAGTTTTTTTAATAATCTGAATAAAATACAAAATAACGATAAATAACTATTACTTCTTGATTAGTCGAGCCTATATCCAGTAAAATTTTTCCAATTGTTTGGTGATGATCAGTTGAAGCTGGCAGACGAAGAAAACTCAAAAGTTGGAGTTTAAGATTCTTATTCACACAATTTATTTGACTAGTTGTCAATGAGCTAGGCATGTTTTCTAAAATATAAAAATAATGTAGTGATAAAACAATTATGTATTATTAGCTAGTTTTGTTTATCTTTTTCTATAATAAATGTTTATAAATATAAATCTTAGTATTTATATTTTTGAATATTGGTAGACTTATACAGTTTTGATAATTTACAGGTGTAGTACTATTAAAAATGAAACTATAAAACTGTAATTACTAAGTCAAGGTTGGTTATGGTACTAAGTGAAAGATCAGCTTAGTAATAGAGTTACAATTTATCTTTTTATTGATAAACTAATTACCCATAATGAAATATATAAAGAAACCTCCTTTTAATAATATGATAAAAAAGGCCCTTAATGAGTCACAAAAAAGGAAAAAAAATATGTATACAAAGAATGATTTAATACATCAATTTTATATTTTTGTATTAGATGAAGCTAATTTTGCACAATTAAAAAGAGTTATTTCATTAAATAATTGCTAAAAAATTAGATAGAAACTTATTAAAATAGATTTTATAGTAAAATATATCAAGGAAATTATGTTTATGATAAACTTTAC